GGGGGGGGGGGGGGGGGGGTGAGGGCAGAAGCGCTGTCGCCATGGCAACGGCGCCGCGCAGCCGCCATCTTGCACGCCAGCGCCCCCTGGCGTCCGTAGCGCGGCATTGCGCCCATAGGCCATAGCGCCCCCTAGCGCCCATAGCGCGGCATTGCGCCTGTAGGCTCATAGCGCCTCCTAGCGCCCGCAGCGCGGCATTGCGCCCATAGCGCCCCCTAGCGGCCCGGAGCTGCCCAGCGCTCCCCATAGGGCCCCATGGCTGCCCGTAGCGCCCCGTATCGCCCATAGCTGCCCCATAGCTCCCCATCGGGCCCATATTTCCCCCTTGCACCCATAGGCCCCATAGGGCCCGAATCTCCCCATAGCGTCCATAGGGCCCATAGCTCCCCATAGCGCCCCATAACACCCCCTAGCGCCCTTAGCTGCCCCATATCGCCTATAGGGCCCATAGCTCTGCATAGCGCCCCGTAGCGCCCCCTTGGGCCCCCTAGCGCCCATAGTTGCCTCCTAGCACCCACAGGGCCCATAGCACCCATATGCCCCATATGCTCATAGTGCCCATAGCTGCCCCATAGCTCCCCATAGTACCCATATCGCCCCACAGCTGCCCCTAGCGCCCCATAGTGCTCATAGGGCCCACAGCTTCCCATATCTGCCCATAGCGCCCCCTAGCGCCCAAGGGCCCATAGCTCCCCATAGGGCCCATAGCTGCCTATAGCGCCCACCGGGCCTATAGCGCCCCCTAGCGCCCATAGCTCCCCATAGTGCCTCCTAGCGCCCATAGCTCCCCATAGGGCCCATAGCTGCCCATAGCGCCCATAGCTGCCCACAGCGCCCCCTAGCGCCCATATCGCCTATAGGGCCCATAGTGCCCATAGCGCCCCCTAGCGCCCGTAGCTCCCCATAGCTCCCCATAGCTCCCTCTAGCGCCCATATCGCCCATAGCGCCCATAGCTCCCCATAGTGCCTCCTAGGGCCCATAGCTCCCCATAGGGCCCATAGCTGCCCATAGCGCCCCCTGGCGCCCATAGCTGCCCCTGGCGCCCATAGGGCTCATAGCGCCCATAGCTGCCCATAGCGCCCCCTAGCGCCCATATCGCCCACAGGGCCCATATCGCCCATATCGCCCCCTGACGCGGCGCTGTCCCCGCAGGCGCGATGTCTCACGAGAAGAGCTTCCTGGTGCCGGCCGACGCCCCCCCGCCGCCCCCCCCCGGGCCGTACGCTCCGCCCTACGCCGCCCCCCCGCCCCCCGGCTTCGTGCCGTACCCCCCCCCTCCGGCCCAGTCGGTGGGGC